TGAGCACTAACTTTTCACTCAGCATCATGAACACGGCAATTTTAAAAGATTGGAACATTTCTTTCATTCAAACTTGGTTTTTAGATCCAAGACGGATTCTACTACTGTTCCAAGATTTTTTCTTTATGATGTGAATGCTTTTCGATGCCTGAAATACAGTACTTGAAAATTCGGGTTTTCCGTACCCCTTCATTTCGGCGCATTTGTCATTCTTTTTCTCGTGGTTTCAACATGGGGGAGCGGAAGTGGGAACATGATTAGAAAAGTGATTCAATCACGTGCATTCAAACATAAGTTTTCAGATCCGTGTCGGAATCTATAATATGAATTTTTCTTGATGATTTTTGAACGTTTTTCGATGTTTGAAATGCAGTACTGTACCCTAAAATTTCATTAAAAATCCGTGGATTTTGTTGAAGCTCATTCGTGTGCTTTTTTCGTTCTTTTTCCCTCCGTTTTAACGTTGGGAATCGAAAATTGGGAGCATAACCAATAGCGTCCATCTTTAATCGCCCGAGGGAAGCACCGGACTTGCGAAACTTATGAAAAACCCCGGGTATTTACTCTCTGCTTTGATTCAACCCGTTCCGCTGCTGTCTACTGCTGAGACAGCGACGGAACGAGACGTACATCTGAATTTAGATTCGGGTTCAGGATGAACCCCTTTTCCCGTCAAGGGACAGATGCGACGGCATGAAGGTACAGTACTTCACTCAGTCCCAAGGAACGAACCTTAGTCCCAGAGAAACATCCCCCCTCTGGCCGCGGAAATTGAATTTTCTTCTTCGGCGGCGGAAGCAGTGGCGCCGCCACCACCATCTGAAACCTCCCCTAAAAGAGGGAGAGAAACGACGAAGGAGGAACCCGGCTAGTCGCGTCGGGATCCGGTGTCGTGCACTGACAGCCGCCAGATGCGCGAGGATACACCGTCGGGCAGGAAGGCTATTTTAGCCCCAGCGCAGAAGTTGTTCTTTCGCACTGCGGGGTAAAAATCGCATTTCGAGGGATGCTGCTGCTGCTGAGTGGCAGAGAGAACAGAACCTAGGGGGGGGGGGGAATGGCAGCAGCAAGAGGGGGGAAAAAAGAGAAGAGAGTTGACTACCCACTGTACCCAGACCCTGAGATCGCGTTACCCTCGCATCTTGAGAAGAAAGTAGTCACTTTCCCGGGATGCAGGCGGGGCGAACATTAGGTCGCACCTGGGATATCTTGTTCTTTTTGGGACTCAGAATACCATACTGTACCATAGGATTTCTACGGAATGATATTTTGCAGAAATACTGGTTTTCGCTCGGGTACTGACCGCTTTGCATTCACATCACCGGCCTTCATTGGATATTTTGGAGGATCGGTGAGAGAAGACAGGAAAAAGATTTCCCCACTCTTGTTTATTTTTTCTCGCTTGTGAAATGTAATGCTATTCAGTTTGCTGAAGAGAAAGCAGTAGATTCGGAAATGTGGTCAACTCTTCTATATTTACGCTTTGTTGCGTTTTGGTCACTTTCGTCATGAAAAGGTTCAATTTTTCGTGGGGTATACATCTTCCTGTTGAAATTCTAGTTGAAAATTTTGATGTGCTGTTCCGTCGGTTCCGTTGACACGGAAATCCGGTTTGAAATTCAAGATTCTTTCAAAAAGCAATGCTTGAAAATATTTGAGTTCATGGTGCACTTCTAGCTGCTTTTTAGTACCTGCGAAGATTTTCGAATACAATTTATGCCTGCCTCATCAGTCTGTGAGATAATGATGCATCAACGAAAACACATGGAAAGGTTTTCATTTTAGATTATATGAGTAATTTATTTTTTCGTGTTTCCGAGAACTTTCCACTTTCTTCTGTAGTTTTGTTGCTTTTAGTCGGTGGTGCCTTATACAGTATGTTGAGTTTGGTATCCATTTCAAATTTTCAGTTCTGTGGATGCACAGCACGTCTCATCAATTCTGATTCAAGGGCGTTCTAGGTCGATCATCGCTGTAGGTCATGTTGTTGGGTTCATTCAAATTGTAGGGTAGTTCAGAGGAGGTCAGCCGTCGAGAGAAATGGCTATTGCTATCAATGGCTTACGTGAACTGCATATGTTGAATAAATTTGTGGATTGACCTTCGTTCATTCAAGATTATCATCTTTAATTTGAATATTAGCTTGTTCGAGGTTCATTTTACTCAGACATCCGCTGGTCAGATTACGAATAGAACGGCATTCGTGATTTTTTTTCCTTTTCGTTATGCAATGTGTGAGGCGATTTCTTATTTAACCCCCTTTTTGAATATCGGAATTTTGTTTAGGACTCACTTCACGATTTATCTCTTATATTTTCCTAAGTTCTTTACAAATTTTTTTGAATTTGAAGTGATTAAATGTTCTTGCCGATGGAATCATTTGGTCACTCCTTAGTTAACTCGTACTTTGATTTTATGGGGAACGTTTTCGTAACCAAATTCAGATGGTGGTTGAATTCAATTATTTCATCAGCATTTGCGGAAGTGGATGACTTTGCTTGCGATAATCCGCTAAAGGAAGGAATTTTCATCAATGCACACGTACGTTAGAATGCACGTGTGCATTCTAATGTCATCACTTGATTTAGGACTTTTCACCCAACCGTATGAAAGACACGTACTTGGGATATTGGATCAAAGTTCTGAGCAAAAGTAGAGCGTGAAATTGAAAGCCCCGTCCCGTGGAGGGGCTGAAAAATGCATGAAAAGGCGGATAAGAATGCGTGAAATTCCTTGCTCGCGAAAAGCCGGGGGTAATTCTTGCATTCCTCCGGAGAAAGAGGGGTCCTCACAATGAGGTGTTTTAAAACCCGTGCCTTAGGGGACGGAAATAGACTCTCGACGCTGTCGAGTGGCAAACGTCTTACTCGGGAGCCCCCTTTTTACACATGCTTACCGTTGCCGGCGAACACCTTGCTCCAGAGAGCTGAGCAAACTGTGGAGAACAATTCCGATCCTTTTTAACAAGCTACCAAGACAAACAAATACTGTAACTTTTAGGGAGACCGGTTTACTTATTCTGGCTCGTCTCCTCGTGTTCCATGGCCGAGACTCAGATTCCAAATTAGTTTCGCAGACGTTTTACAAATGTATCTGAAATTTATGCCGAACAGTACAGTACTTCGGCACTTGATGTAAAACACACAGCAGCTGTATTGAAAAGGGACAGAATTTTCAATTGAAGATTTTCTGCACGTGTAACCTTCATTCAAATCCGGCGCTTCATTGCGTAAACGGGGAAAATCGAAAGCCCTATTGCCAGACGGTTAAATTATTGTAGAATATCCCCTTCTGTTTGACGTGCTAATTAGTTTATGTTCCAAGGACATCGAGTATTCACATTTTTGAATCGGTAATTCATGGATGGATTTTTCCAAGTAGAGCAGTTATTGTTTTATTCTCTCGCGATTTCGACTTGAATTTGCTTGGTCCTCCGAGTAGCTCATTCAAGCACGATTGAAACTAGATTCAATTGTATAATTTCCTCAACTGTTGATCTCAATTAATCTTGAATTAATTTGAGTCAAGCAAGGAAAGGAAATGCTGATGATCGGAGAAATGTTTGACGATTTTGTAATTCTTGCATTCTTCGTGTAAAAGGAATTTCAAGCGGAAATATTTTCGAGTGAGTCCTTCATTGTAGTGAGATCCTGTAGGCCATGCGAAAATCAACGGAACTGATGATAATTTTGGAAATCGCCGCAGGAATTTCCTAGATTATCTGCAGAATCTATCCGCCAACGTATTGTGGAATGTTAATGATTTTTTAATATACTTTTGATCGCGATTGTGTCATGAAAATGTCTGTTTCATGGCAACAATTCCGTTAGTTTGTTTATGATTTAACAGCCAACTTGATTTCTTGCTTCGTCGTTTTGAATGTACCGTCAAGGTCGAATTTTTGTTTTTTGACGCACATGCCACGACGTTTCAACTCATGAATGCATTCTATAATTTTTTTTTCTCTTTTTACTATTCATTCCGGAAAGACCCATGAGTGAAAACGCGTGGACCTTTTTATTCAGAATTTTTCCTCCTTGGTTTTATTTCGAGGAAGTGCGGGAACTTCACGAGCACCTTGAAGGCAATTCTTCAGCAGGTGGTTGTTCATCAGTAGATGGAAGAGAAGATTATGTGCGTCGCTTATCGCAGGCTAATCAGTACCCCCAGACTGGACATTGCTTGCATCACATTCTCCAATTTTTCTGGCTCTCTCCGGAGATGCCGAAGAGGAGGAAGATGAGCTTAATTGCAGTTTCAAATAAGCTCTCTCGCGTCTGCTGATGAGCGAGATGAGGGAAAGTTTTTTTTTTTTTCCTTCGGAACAGTGTAAAGCTGTCTGATATTCAGTATTCTGTCTGGACGATCCATGCATGGGCGATATTGAAAAAGCGAAATGAACTTTGAATTGACTCATTTATTTTAAATGTGTATCGAATTGCTATTATTCTGATCCCCAGGTGTCTTGAGTGAAAATTTCCCGAACTACTGGGGACGCAAATGCAAGTCTTGAATCAAATCTCAGTTCTTTCACAGAGACCTTTTCTATTGAAGCCCTCGCTCGGAGAATATCTTGCTCATAAATTGACATTTTACGGCTAATATAGCGTATAGCATCACTGTTGATGCGATTTCTTTGGTAAGAACCTTTTCTCTGTGTAACATTATCAAATTTGGGGCATTGTCACGAAGATTTTAGATTTTATAAAATATTTACTCCAGTTTGGACTTCCTTGAAATCTTGAAAAATGCAAGCGTAGACAGGTTGTACGTCTCTTATTTGTCAACATTTTATCCCCAGTATGTAAAACTTGGGAAACGCGTCGAGAAATGTTGGTATATTTTTCATTTAAAAATTTTTGATCGCAGCCTAGTGAACCTATTCTCAAATGCGCGTGTGAATTTTATCTTTCGATGTCGCAACATGAAGACTGTGATCCTCTTATGTTTCATCGCAATTTTTCCGTCTACAAAATTTTGCGAGGCATTGTACACTAAACATGAAGCGCTTGAGCGCGTTGCCTTCTGGATTACACGGAGCAGTACTGGTTAAGGACCCGAAAGCGGAAACGGGAACGATGCTTGGGAAAAGATTGTCATTGTGCTCAGTAAGACCCGCAGCATGATTTTTTTCTTCTTCTTCGTCTTCTTTTTTTTTTTTTTGTGGGTCTAAGCGTCTGTCGACATCGGGCTCTCGTCAGCGTCGATTCGACGGCATTCACGCTTCTTTGTTGGTCTTCCTGTTCACTGGGCTTGAGATCGAATTCGTTCCCCCCGTCTTGGTCCCCTTTCATCGTTCTCTCCGCATCTTTGTTGTTGAATTCTTTAGTTCCCATCCCTGGGAAATTCGGGGGTTTCGTTTTTAAATGGGTTCGAGGAGATGCTTTGGATGATGGAATACAGGTGTCCTGCGTGAGATTGATTTTTAGGTGAAAGCCGTCGTCAATTTCCCTGATTTTTCACAAGATTGAATTGGTACATAATTATAGTAGATATTAATCTAAAAAAACCACGTTTTTCAAGTAAGACTAAAAAGCACAAAAAAATTTAGATTAAAAAATTAATCTAAAAAACCATGTTTTCAAAAAGCAAAAAATAACCTTAAACGTGGTGCGCATGGAGATTGTTGGGAAGAAGTGAAATACAAATGAAATAGATGCGCACCACGTGTAAGGTTATTTTTTGCTTTTTGAAAACGTGGTTTTTTAGATTAATTTTTTAATNAGCAAAAAATAACCTTAAACGTGGTGCGCATGGAGATTGTTGGAAGAAGTGAAATACAAATGAAATAGATGCGCACCACGTTTAAGGTTATTTTTTTTTTTTTGAAAACGTGGTTTTTTAGATTAATTTTTTAATCTACTAAATTTTTTTCTTCTTGATTTCTCTTACAGCAAACTCAAAACTGTCAAAATCCAAATGGAAAAAAAATAATTTGTTATATACTGTACAGAGTTTGCATAGATGGAGAAAATCGTTGTAGAAAAAGTCCACCTTTCATATTCTCTCTCTTTCTTTCAAATATTGTCCCTTATATTCAGGACGATCCAGGACCCGGCGAGCCAGCGACTGACGTGGTACAAGCCGCCACTGTCGGTGTTGGTCATCAAGAAGGTGAGGGACGCCTCTGTGCTGCCGCCGTTTATCCAGCTCGTCACCTGGCTCATGACGGAGAAACGGATGGTGGTGTGTGTGGAGTCGTCGGTCATGGACGACCCGTTGCTGGCCAAGAACCCGGCCTTTGGCCACTTTCGAGACAAGCTCATGACGTTTCGTGAGGGCATCGACGACCTCACCGACAAGATCGACTTCATCATCTGCCTCGGCGGCGACGGCACTTTGCTCTACGCCTCCTCGCTTTTCCAGGTTCGATTTTTTTTTCTCTCGCCTATTTTGGAAGAGTACATTTTCAATTTTTTTGTGGAATTCTTTTTTGAGATCTGCTCTCTTGAAACTGGATTTTTTATTTATTTTTTTAGGCTTGCTCTTTTGTAATTTGATATTTTTATTCTTGCTTATAATATACAGTATACATTGAGACTTGCTCTTTTTTTTAAATCTGATATGGCATGTTTGTTTTTGGACAATTGCCCTTGTGAGATTTGATACAGTATTTATATTTATATTTTATATTTGTGTTCTTTTTTCATTTGAGACCTGCTCCTCTGATGCTTACTCCTTTTGAGACATACAATCTTGATATTTGTATTAATGAATTTGTATAGACTTTGAATTTGTCTTCTTACTTATTTTAGACTTGCTCTTTTGATATGCTTGCTCTTCTCAGATTTTCTCTCTTGATATGCTTGCTCTTCTCAGATTTGCTCTCTTGATATAGCTTGCTCTTCTCAGATTTTCTCTTCTCAGATTTGCTCTTCTCAGATTTGCTCTTCTCAGATTTGCTCTTCTCAGATTTGCTCTTCTCAGATTTGCTCTCTTGATATGCTTGCTCTTCTCAGATTTGCTCTTTTGATGCTTGCTTACCAAATAGCATAACCAAGTCATTGCTTGAATTTACATTACAACTTTGATGATGCAGTAGAATTCTTGAAAATTCTTTCAACTCCTTTGACCTCTTGTCATTGGTTCCTAATAATTGAAAAGGGTATTTACTTCACTGCCTTTTATCTGTTTGATTGCAGCAATCTGTACCACCAGTGATGGCGTTTCATCTGGGATCCCTTGGGTTTTTGACGCCATTTGAGTTTGAAAACTTCCAGGACCAAGTGCATTATGTATTGGAAGGTTTGTTTATTTATCCGGCATCCAACCGAAATTCTATTGACGTTTGAATTTTTGCCGAAATGTTGTATGTAGGAACATTGAAGTACAGTATCTCTTTTCTACAACGTGTATACGTACCAGCAGTTCAAAAACAAATTACCGGTTGCAAATTTAAAGAGATTCAACGTACCACCAGCTTAAAAAATTAGAAATAAGCAAATTCATATAAATTCAACGTACTGTGCTTCAGCTTCCGAGAGAATTGATGCCTCTTATCTTGAATCCTCAACCTTGTTCTTGAAAATTAATTTTTCTATTGACTCCAGTGAATGCTTGTAGGCATACACGATGCTGAGTCTTTTTCAAAAATGTAATTTTGGATTTAAAAAATTCTTTTTCTTCGTGTAAACAGGACATGCAGCACTAACTCTTCGAAGCCGGTTGCGGTGCATCATAATGCGTAAGGCAGACGAAGAGGAGCCGGTTGTTCCCGGAGTGACGCCCTCTAACGGCGCGAAGCTTAAGGAAAGCAACGCAGATGTCGCTGCTGCCGGGAACGGCAGTAACCATCACCACCACCACCACCATCATCAGCACCTCCACCAACACCATCATAACACTCAGCACCAGCATCACAACCACGGCAGTCTGGGGAAGCACCACACGCACCATCCTGCCAAGCCAGTGGCACCACCTCCGAATAACCTCTTGGTGCTCAATGAGGTCGTTATTGATCGTGGCCCATCGCCGTATTTGTGCAATATTGACCTGTTTCTGGACGGGAAACAAATCACTTCTGTCCAGGGAGACGGTACAGTATTTTGCATTCATATTCTATTTGAGCATAGGGGAGGAAGTTAAGTCATTGAGATCTATGTGATTTTCAATTTCCATTTGATTTGAGCGAAATTGTGAAATTAGTTTTTGTATCAATAATAAGAAGTGAAACAGCATCAGAGAGCATCCGCAAAATTTTTCCCAGGTGCCTCAACATTGGCAGTTACTTTCAGAGGAGAATGAAAGTACTGTTCAGTATTACTGTACTGTACTTGTGAAATCTTTTTGGCTGGAAAATTTATAGATGAAATTCTTATAGACGGCAATAATGAGGTCCGTTGAACATATTGATAGTATGATATTTTTCGAGGTTATATACAGCAGAAAGATCTTCATTCGTCATTATTTTGTAAAAAAAGCTTTTAAAAAACATTTATGAAGAATCATCAAAAGAATTTTATTTTTTGGCCATATCGATTTTTCCTCCAAATATCGGACTTTCAAAAGATTTCCCCCGATTTTTCGTGCCCTTGAAGGGGGAGCAAAATTAAGTCCATATATATTACTGCCGACTGCAATGCCAAAAATTGATATTCCGATAAAAATTGTGAATTATTTCGAAAATGACGTCTGGTAGAAGAGTTTTTCCTAATAATTCGAAACTTCATTGCTCATTTTGAAATGTTATAATTTTTATGTAATCTGCTGGGAAACTTTACTTAATTTAATATTATTCTGGTTTCTGGTGTGGCTAGAAAAAACTAAGCCACACCAGAATAATAGAACTTAGGAGGGGGGAAGAAAGAATGAACCCCAAAAAAAAAAACTCATGTCAAAAAGCGTTTGTATGCTTGGGAAACCCTGTGCTGATGATTATAAATTATAGTAAGTCTTTTTTGGAACATCCACCCTTATAAATTGCTCAGAAAAACAGAAAGTCTTGGTGTTGACCAGCAGTTATTCAGAATAAATGTTTGTGATTGACATTTCAACTTATTTTTTAAGATTGCAGTTTTTTAAATGCCAAAATTACCTGAAAAGGTTACAGAAGGATGATGTTAAATTTATGCAGGGTTGATCTTCAAAAAATCTTCCAATCAGTCAAAAATTTCAAAAATCTTGTTATAACAAATTATTCATAAAAACAAACTTTTTTCTGGAGTCCGCCCCGCGAGTTTGTTGTAACAAGATTTCACTGTGATGCCTTACCCTTTTTTTGTTTTGTAATTTCGTGGGAACAGGTATAATTGTGACGTTTTGGGGACACATTTTCTTACTTTTGTGCTGCATATTTCACGACAGGGTTGATCGTGTCCACCCCAACTGGGAGCACGGCATATGCGGTTGCAGCAGGTGCATCCATGATCCACCCTTTTTAAAACTTAGATCATGTTGAACAAGGACGCCAGGAATACTGCGTGGGTCTCCTTCGATGGTCGACACCAACAGGAATTGAAGCATGGAGACAGGTGAAAGAATAATGAATGAGATGCTGATGAAAATATATGAAGAACTGTGGCATATGAGCATAGAATATTGGTCATTGTTGGCAGGTTTTTGTTTGACATACAGATGTTGAAAATTGATTACAGCAGTACTCAATTACCTCTTGCCCTCGCCGATTTTTCATTTTAAAGTGTTGGTGAAATCCTATACCAACGTATGTTCCCCATTTTTAGTGGCTGCTGGAAAGCTACAACATTTCAAAAATTTGAGACACCAGAACTCAAATTTAAGCATGAATTCAACCGGATATCAATTAATTTCCGATTGTTTTCATTTTAAGATGCTATTTTCAAAAATTTCCCATTTTAATTCAAGTGTAACGCGAACCTAAATTTTAAACATTTTTTGAAAATTTTATCCCCGCCTACGACTTGCAAGCCCTTTTGCCCCATCAATTTTGAGAAAAAAGGTGCTCAGGGTACTTCAGTAAATATAGTAGTATGTTTATTCATAGTTTAAAAAAATGAATTGGCTAAAAAAGAAACAAAAATACGTCATTTGCATGTTCCTGCTGGTGCTGGTAGAGTATACTTAAGATTGAATTATATGTAAATGAAAATTATGCTTGAGTTTTATTTATAAAATTGGTCATATTCTTGTAGGAATAGCACTTTTGAGTGATTATCACAGTTATAGCCAACTTCGGGTTGAGCAAATACTTTAAAGATGACGAACTGCACGTATTTACCAAATCTCGCAACTCGATTTTTTTCAGTTTTCCGGAATCCAAAAAATGTATTATTTCTTCAAATTGTACACAAATTGAGACTTTAAAAAAAATGACTGACTTATTCATGTTTTCAGCAAATCTCGCAGCTCAATTATAAATTTTTTAAATCACATCTTCGAATTATGCGAAACATGAAGAAGTCGAAAATGTTTTTGTTCCTGGAAATTTTAGGATGAATTGAGACTAATTTATTTTTCTATTTTTTTTGGCTTTCGATAGCTTGAGAGTGACGACGTCGATTTACCCAGTGCCTTCGATTTGCTCGCAAGACCAAATCGCGGATTGGTTCGAGTCCCTGGCTGAGTGTCTGCACTGGAACATGCGCAAAAAGCAGCGCCAATTCGACGAGTCCCTGTCTGACAATTCGTACCCAGGGGAAAGATCATCATCTTCGTCGTCGTCGTCGTCGGTGTCGTCAATCGACGGAGAAAATCCCGATGACACTGACGGCGTGGTCCCGGCTACTGACGAGAAAGTTGAGAATAACTGATCCTTATATATTGCCAAGCAAAACAAAACCGGGCTGGGTTTCACCATGAAAGAAAGCACAACAACAGAAAACTTAACTACCGAGAAATGTATCAAGATTACGATCGAGTGATTTCATGCGAAGCAGCGTCTTCCATATTTTTTTTCCTTTCTTCGTCTTTTTTTTTTATTATTGCTGTTTCCCCCGATGAAATTGAGTGCTTGATGTACAAAGTCGTGAGACTGAGCTTTCAAATTTTTCTCTCTCCTGCTTTCAGAAAAAGTATTTCTAAAACAAAAGAGAATGAAATCTGGGCGGGAACAAACTTCGGAGAAATGTGGTGGAACATATGTACACGTCTTGTAAACGCGTTTTGGATGCTTTAAGCTGATGATGATTGTGAAGATTTTTTTTTTTAATGCAAAAATTGTGAATATTTTTCTCCTTTCCGAAACATTCCGCTTTGCTCAACTGCTGTATATTTCAAATAAAGATTTTTCCATTTCCATGCAACCGTGGTTTTTAAATTCTCTGGGAAATGTGTGAAGTTTTGAAGTTTATGTTGCCACACAAAACATATATTAGTCAACCATGGATTTAGTGCCACCCTCTCGTATATAGTGCACAAATTTCCCTGGTAAAAATCTCCCTTCATTACGTTCTAAAGGAAAACCCTGATTTAGTGGCAACTCACTTAGTGCCGCAAAAATTCTTTGTCATGTTTAATAAAGTGGGCAGAAATTTAAGTAAACTGTGGCATTTTTACAAGGATATCATTGGATTATAAGACTTACGAAAAAAATCGTATCCCCATGCACGCTGACATAAAACTCAGGATAAATGTGAAAAATCTATTTTTGAATTTACATTATTGAAAAATATTTTTTGTTGCCATAACCTCGTTTGGATCATTGAAAATATGAAAAGTGGAAGCTTTTGTGGAAAAATTGGTGATTCCTTCATGCATAGGACTTCATATAAAACTATCTCCAATGCACACAAAATCTTAACAGCTGAGATATTTTACTAGAGGTCATATGTTTAAAAATCGAGTAAATGCTTCCTGATGCATATTTTTAAATAAAGTATTGTATTAAAAAGTACCTTTGAGCTTCAAATTATTTATTTTGACTTGTTCTCTTATAAAACACCCTGACTAATATAAATTATAGTGCCACAATACTGTATGTTCCAGGACAAGTAGTGCTACTAAATTGAGATTTGACTGTACTCAATAAATGCAATCTTTTTATGTTGTGTTGTCTCAAAAGTTCATCCACTTCTGTATATAAAATAATCTCAGCACAATTTAAATTTGAAAACTGAATCCTGCAGTCTTCATTTAATTTCTAGTAACGCTTTTGTGTCCTTGAAAGTTTGGATAATTTCATGTTTCTCAGAAATGACAGTTTTTGGTTCCATGTTTTCTAACGACGTTTCTGGCAAGAATTAGATTCATAATTTTCAGGAATTTCGCACCACCATAAATATTAAAAATATTGTAGTTGTTTGTGGCTGTTCGAAGGAGTCAGATAAGATTTCAATGGAAAATAAAACCAGGAATATAATGGAGAGAAGCACTTCATTGTAACAGATGCAATTTTCTTTTGCTCGTGCAAGTTGGCTTGAGAGGCATCGAAATGGCAACAATATCGACAAAAAATACGGGGAAATTTGCTTTTCCCCTTGCATGAAGCAAACTTAGTTTGCTAGTTTTTTCTTTCTTCTTAAATACAGAACCTCTGTACATCAACAAAAATAATAATTCAACATCGGTATATAGCAGCGCTCGAAAACTTTGGAAGACGAAAAAATTTCTTCTGATGTTGAATATTCAATTTTTGAATGGTTCATTATTCGAACAAGTCGTCGAGGCCACGAGTTTCTCCGGAGTCGACGAAATCCTTGTATTTCCTGGTGTAATGATCCACGATTGCTTCTGTCTTCTCAATCATTTGCAAGATTTCTTCCACGTTATTCTGCGATTTTTGGAAATCTGCCGCCCACTGATCTTGGTCTTGATCCCTGCGAAATAAAATGGTAAATCATCAGTAACTGCTATAGTAAAAAAAAACACGTTGCTCCTTTGGGAAAATTCTATTGGCCCAGGACTTCTTTAATCTTTCTACAGAGTGCAGCTTATTCAATGGAACTTGAATAATCGCGTAATTTTTTTTTCATGAACACCTGTCAATTTCAAGAAACATTCGCAGTCGAGTAAAAAAAAAAGCGGGAAAGAAAGCTTTTTCAATGAAAAACAAATTTCCGGGAATCCCAATCAAATACATAAAAACAATCTGCCGGAACCTCATTCAGAAAGTTTCCATTTCACTGGTTATGCCATATCAGAAGGCATATACTCGTAAAAGCATTTACGTGATGTGCTGTTGAAGGCTGAAAAGTTGGAAAATGAAATTTGGACACGGACGTGATTATGCTCGTGCAACCGTCAACTTTCAAATAATAGAAATAAAATATAAATCGACCAAACGAAAATGTACTACAATCGAATAAATAAAAGTACCTGTGCCAGGAAAAAAATCGACACAGGGGTGTTTCGAGTCAGGGGAACAAGTATTTTTGTTTGGGGAAGGGGTGGGGGAGAAAGAAATATTGCAGGAAATCAAAATTGGTTATATTCCAGGCCTGAAATTGCTTCTTGAAGGAGTTGAAAGCATGCTGAACTTTGAGGCAAATGTTTATAATAGTAATTAATAGTCCTTCACTTCCTTTCAAAATATTTTGCTTTTCCATTTATTTTATTTCTCCTGAGTCAATAAAATAATACCAAAAAGAGGTCAAGAAAATTCCAGTTATATGGAGGCTTGACGGGAAATTCAAGTTAGGGAGGTTTTTAGTGCTTTATTTCTAAGGGTATTATGAATTAAACTTTAGAAAGTTTGACATCCAGGGAGATATTCCACTAAAGGAGGTTTGAGTAAATGACTTTCAACTTCAAATAAAAAATTCCAAAAATAACATCACTACAAAAATATGTTCAGTAAAAAATTTTTTAAATCTTTAGTCCCAGTAACAGAAAGCCAATAGAGTAGGAATCTTGCTGTAATAAACTTCCAAATTCCAGTTTGAAAACACTTTTTGATTAATGTTTCTTAGATTATCCAGGGATAGAAAACTTGAAAAAATGTGTACCCATTTATGGCGTGCACCCTGTTTTTCCCTATAAATTTTGAGAAAAATGGTACTTGTGGTACTTGAATAAATATATTTTACAGATGAACCTTGATAAAAATCAAACCTCCCTAAGTTGAATACCTCTCTTGGTCAATTTTTTTTAAAACCCTGTCTGATGCATTAAAAACCTCTCTACCTCAAAGCGTTTTCCTATAAAACCTCTCATCTAAGTCACATTTTCTGAAGCCTTTTGGCTATTGATTTCTTGTCACAAAAGAAAACCGATAAAAAGCAGGAATTTATGTCTTTTGAATGAACGTGAAAGACCAATTTGGCAAATGAACCCTTGATGTGTACAAGTTCAACATCCTGTCAACTCATTTCAGAAGCAATTTAAGGACAAAAATTTTACCAGTCAAAATTTCTGGAAATTCTTTGATCTTTCCCACAAAAAATGAGAGTCTCCTAACTCAAAAATTCCCTAACTCCAAACCTCCTTAAGTCAAAACTAGGGGTTCAGTTTTGTAGGGGTTCAGTTTTGTAGGGGTTCAGTTTTGTAGGGGTTCAGTTTTGTAGGGGTTCAGTTTTGTAGGGGTTCAGTTTTGTAGGGGTTCAGAAAACATCCCCAAGTCAAAATTTTTTTTGCTGGTCCCTTGGAATTCAACTAAGAGAGGTTTGACCTGTATAAAAAAATGAAAATAAAATTTACTCCTGCTCCTTGCGGAGTTCCAGCTCATTCTTGTTGGCCAACAATCCTCTGTGTGCCACTTGCAGCACCTGGAGCATGTGTCTGGCCTGATGCAGCTTCTTCTTGGTGAGGAATGCGTTGTTGATGTTGCACAACACTTCCCGCTCTTCTTCCTGCTCAATATACGGTCCTTTGTAGCACACGACGACGGGTGTGGTCTTATTATTATCGACCTGACGTGACCCAGTCGGGTCATCCTCGTCAGACGAGGCACTGGCGTCGTCAGACGTCGACAGCTGGTCTTCGGAGCATTCCGACGACATTCCGAGCCCGGGTTTGGGTTCGCTGCTGCTTGTCGACGACGACGACGACGACGACGACGACACCGAGTCGTTGAGGGAACTGGACGAGATGGACATTTTCAAATTGCTTCTGTTGGATGCTGATGACGTTGTGGTTCCTGCTGCGGCTGGTGATGAGCCATTTTGTTGGTGTTGGAGTTGTTCTAGCTGCTGGTGCTGGATTTTGACCATTCGTGGCAACACGCCGAGTTTCCGCGGTTTCTCGAAAAATGCGCGCATTTCTCTCACACATATTTCGTAATCTTCGTCCATTATTGTGGCTTCAGAAAATTGCAAGTTGTTTTCCCCTTCCACAATTTTGTTTTTCACAAAATTATCTGCAAGGAAAAATTCAAAAAAATTCAAAACCAAACTGCCTGGACTCGTGATGAAATTTGAGGTACGTGTCATCGAAACTATTTCAGGAATGTGAAAATAAAATTCTGTCATGAAAAAAAGGCAATGAAAATAATAATAAAAAGCCTAGAATAACGCCTCGAAAATGATGCCATCATGCAGGCCATTTCTCGAAGAAAACCAAAAATAAAATAAGTGCCGACAGCCATTCCAGAGAAAAATGTCTACAGCGAAAAATATATGAACTTGTTTGAATCACAAGTAAATTCGAGGTTTCTCGGGAATTTTTAGAAGATACAGTACTATGTACGTTTTTCTCTTAGATAAGGATATCGAACACGTTAAGAGTAACTCATAAAACTTCGAAAAAAAGATATTTTTTCATATTTGACAAAGAAATAAACGCTTCAGTCAATAGGTCATTTCAAAAAATCGAACATAAAGATCGATGAAAATGAATCGACAAAAATGTCCTGGCCTAACATGTGAAATCTTCAAAATTACCGTCGATCACTGATATTTTCATGAAGGAAAGCCAATTAAAATGATAATAATTTTATATGCTTCTGGATTTTGACCATTCGTGGCAACACGCCGAGTTTCCGCGGTTTCTCGAAAAATGCGCGCATTTCTCTCACACATATTTCGTAATCTTCGTCCATTATTGTGGCTTCAGAAAATTGCAAGTTGTTTTCCCCTTCCACAATTTTGTTTTTCACAAAATTATCTGCAAGGAAAAATTCAAAAAATTCAAAACCAAACTGCCTGGACTCGTGATGAAATTCGAAACCATCTCAGGAATGCAAAAATGAAATTATTTCTTGAAAAAGAGGTTCAGTACTACAAACGACGAAGAAAACGACTCGAATGATGCAATCAGGCCATTTCTCGAAGAAACACGAAAAATAAAACAAGTGTCAACAGTCATTTCAGAGAACAATATCCACAACGAAAAATATAAAAACTTGTTTAAATCACAAGTTAAATTCCAGGCTCCTCTGGAATATTTAGAATACTGTACGCTTTTCTCTTGAATAAGGAGATCGACAACGTTAAGAGTAACTCATAAAACGTCGAATAAAAATACATTTTTTTTCATATTTGACAAAGAAATAAACGCTTCATTTAATAAGTCATTAAAAAAAATCGAAAATAAAGATCGATGAAAATGAATCGACAAAAATGTCCTGGCCTAACATGTGAAATCTTCAAAATTACCGTCGATCACTGATATTTTCATGAAGGAAAGCCAATTAAAATGATAATAATTTTATATGCTGCTGAAGATTACCTCATTCAAGTTTTAATCAGGTAATTCTTTAAATAAACTGAAAACAATGGGACGAATGTGCCCAAAAATGCATACGCAATCAATCAGATTGGCATTTCAAAAATAAATTAGGTCGCCAATCAAATTCCAACTTCTTTTGAATCATCAAGAAAATACTTTAAATACTTCGTCCTCCGAAATGAAAGCAACAAAATCCTGTTGCTCGTGAAAACGAATCAATAAAATAGTTCACAGAGCACAAGAAGAGCGCAGCATAGATTCTTCAATCTGATTGTTATTAATAATGAAAACAGAGATAGACAAATGCAGGCACGAATTTTTCTAAAATACCTAAAACAATATAATACTACTGCTGCTGCTCAAAAATGAAATTTGATTTTTAAATTGTTGGTAATTTTTGAATCCGATTCGTAATACACATACTTTCGACTGTAGCTTGCGTGATACAGTATTACTCATATACATTTGAAGACGAAAAAATATCTTCGATGACGTCGCATTATCGAAACAATTTTCCACGCAACTGCGATTGGAATCGTGTCTTCTCGGACAATTTCCCCGACGAAGCTGCGCTTTTTAATTCGGCCCAACATAGTGGGACGAAACGAAATCGAGGGGAAAAAGTCGAAATGGTCATTCGGGGCGAAAAACAATTTTCTGCTGTCTTTCTCTGCCTCGGGCTAAAAAAGAACACCTGTTGGTGAGCTCTGTTTCTTTTCTTTCATTATGATTTCACTTTTCTCCTCCTCCTCTCATTTCGGCTGCTGATGGGAATTTCTTCTGTTAGGTGTGTGTGTGTGTGACTATTCCGTGACCGAATTTTCCGGAGACTCGCGTGACAAGTTTATTTGCCCCACAGACGCCGAAATCGAAACTGACTTGGTCCTTATAATGCAAGGGAATTTCAAAAAGTCCTGTGAAATTTTTATCAATTTGATTTTGATAGTGCTGCAGTGTTTCTCTTCCCTGAATGCATTTATAAGAATTATGCTGCCTGATGAGTTATTTTCTCTGGCATCATTGGTATAGATCATCAGTGTTCCCCAACATTTTTTGGGCCTGTGGACCAGCAAATTTCCAAAAAACATTTATGTGGACTGGCAATGTTTCATAAATTTTTGTACATACAAAATTTTTTATTCGCATCACTTTATGGCAGGTATTAAAAAAGTTGTAGCTTTTTCGCAAAAATTAAGTTATAAAGAACCAATCAAAGCACCTAGCTATAATCGAATGTCTTCAAACATTATAAGGTGGGCGTGGGCCATAAAAAGAATTCTCAGAATGAAAAATTAAATGATTTTGTATCAGCAGGTCAAAAATTTTTCTGAATTGTAATTAGGGGAAATGACAACTTTTATTTTTCATCACATGATTTCAACTGCCATTGCATTTCCTTGCTGATGGGAATTTCTTCTGTTAGGTGTGTGTGTGTGTGACTATTCCGTGACCGAATTTTCCGGAGACTCGCGTGACAAGTTTATTTGCCCCACAGACGCCGAAATCGAAACTGACTTGGTCCTTAATGCAAGGGAATTTCAAAAAGTCTTGTGAAATGTATAAAAATTGTATTTTGGTAGTGTTGCAGGGTTTCTTTTTCCTGAATGCATTTATAAAAATTATGCTGTGTGGGTTATTTTCTCTGAAATCATTGGTATAGATCATCAAGGTTCCCCAAGATTTCTGGGCCTGCGGACCAGCAAATTTCAAAAAAAAAAATTCTGTGGACTGGCAATGTTTCATAAATTTTTGCAGATACAAAAAATTTTTATTCGCATCACTTTATGGCAGGTATTAAAAAAGTTTTAGCTTTTTCGCAAAAATTAAGTTATAAAGAACCAATCAAAGCAGCTAGCTATAATCGAACGTCTTCAAACATTATAAGGTGGGCGTGGGCCATAAGTTTCTTAAGAGTCTTACTTTTTAATTTACTAAAACATAGTCGTCCAGTTTTTAAAAAGACTTAACATTAATCCCCTTTACTGTTGAAAATAAAAAGTAGTGTACTAAAGTTGACGGTAACGTAAAGGAAAATTTAAGATGAAGATGACAGACTTCATTACTACTTGTGAGTTATGAATTTATGATATCTTTACTATTAGGAAGAAAATTTCCCACAGACCAGCAAAAAACTTCTGCAGACCAGTGCTGGTCCACAGACCACAGGTTGGGGGAAAATGGCATAGATCAGTGTTCCCCAACCTTTTTGATCCTGCAGACTGGCAAATTTCCTTAGAATTCTTTGTGGTCTGGCCAATTTCCAATAAAATTCTCTGAGGACTGGCAAAGCTTCATAAAATGTTTGCAGACCCCAAAAATTTTGTTTCAAAGACTCTTGCTCTTATTCTTAAATAAAAGCTGTGACGACAGTGAAGTTAGCAGAAGAGAAGATACAGTACTTTGAATAAATTCCTTGACGCCCAACTGCTTCTTCATCGCAGAAATTCTCGAAAAAATATTTTTTCCAGAAGAATCATTTCTTTCTCTCAGCAAAGATGGTTCCTTTTGGCTTATTGTTTAGAAATTCAAAAACTGATTACACCTGAGAGGGGTTAATGGGAAAATTATTCAGAAAATATCAAACACCGTTACGACGACCCCTCGCAACAAAAAAAAAAAACCGCAGCTTGCCGAACAATTTTCACACTTAATTCGTCACAGACGAATTTCGGAATATAAAGTCTTTGCTTTTTTCAGTAATAAAACTCAGGCGTCGATTTGTAGTCACGCTTTTCCTTGTTGAATACCGGGGATAATAAATCCGGATGAAGTAGGACAAAATCGGCAGTCACCTGATGATAATGATAATGACGATAATCATAGGGGATTATCACACTTTCATTGTCGCTCATCCGCGATAAATCGTGAGAAAAGTTGAAGTTCATTTTCCCCCCTGTTAACTTGTGACAATTAGAAAGGGGAAACTGCAGTTTAAATCGATTAGGCTTCGAATTCTTGCACTTTTAAATTGAGAATTATCCTATTTTCAAGAGGGCGTTTTCGCGAAAGTCTCCAACCAATTAAATGATTCCCTTCGGGAACCTCGTAAACATGCGTTCCCACAAATCATGCAAAATGTTTCTTTCCTAAATTAGAACATCCTAGGGAAAAAAGTATGAAATTGTTTTTGTTCCACTTCAGGATGATCATGATTAGCAAAAGTTGACCAATTATCAAGCTTCCGAACCCATTTTCTGAAATAATAAATCACGCTAAAATGAAAATGTCGCATAAATAAAACACATTCAAGTTTTTGACGAATTTTGAATAGAGTGTAAGTTCAATAGAACTTTCAACCTTTTATGAAATTCATTCATGCATTAGGAAACAAGGCTTTTGAAGTCACTGTTCGCATCAAAAGCTTGTGCATCCATGAGATAATAATCTGACATGAAGTTTTTCCTGATACTTATCACCAAAGAAAAAGTTAGGTCCAGAAATGGTTAGATAATTTTATATAATAACAGAAAAGTTAGACAACATCTGCAGCTTTAATTCAAGACCTTGTGGATTTTTGTAAGTCCAAAATGTTTGGAGGTATTTTCTTTGGAATTCTGCACATTGTGAGTTGTGCCATGTGCAAAGCGTGTTT